CATCCCAGCCTTCTTTGAAAGCCTTCCTTTTGCCTTCTTCAAAGGCCAAAACAATTTGGTCATGGCAGTTGAGCCATACATTTTGGTACTCGTTTTGGACCCTCTCTAGTTCCCCAACCTTCTCGGCCTCCAGGATGTCAACTTTGGTTGTAAGCTAGTTCATGATGGACTCGGCTTCTGATAGCTTGACCTTACTGGCAAAAAATCAGAGTTCATACTTCTCCACTTTCTTGATAGCCGCGGCCTCGGCTGTTTTCAACTCTTGCAGCTCAGCGACATAGGTGTTAGCCTCGTGGATTAGGTCGGTTATGTGTTTTGCTTGATCAGCGACTGTCCTCTCCACACCCCGGATGTGTTCATCTTTTTGAACCAGGGCATTCTCAGCATTTTTTGCCACCTACCTGTGCTTCCAGAGGCTCTCAGTGATGACCCCCATCTGCTAGCAAGCTTGAAAGCGGAGCACCGAGAGTTAGAAATGATCAAATGAAGAAAAAATGAGAGTTAAAGCAGCCACGCGTGCTTACCAACATATTATTTTGGATAGCAGCTTGAAAAAGCCTATTGTCCCCATAGCTTTTATAAACGGCCAGGTCGGCCTCAAATTAGAAACTCCCGGCGATGGCAAAAGCAACGTCGGGAGATTGCAGGAGAGAGTCAGATTCCAAGACTGGGCGCCCCTTCCTTGTTTGAACTCGGGGGGCCCATTCGACTGAAGAACCNAAGGGGAAAAAATGAAAATACACATACATAGAGAAAGAAGTTTCATTAAAAAAAAAAGGGTTTTGCATCCCCAAGGCATACAGAGATTTACAATATGCAAGAAAAGAGAATTACAAAGACGAAATGAAGCAACTACAAAGAAAGTGGTCAGGGTCCCCCAAGCCTTTCAGGATCAGCTTGCCGACCTCCGCCGGTTCCATTGCCGCTAAGTCCACCACGCCTCCTTAGGGTTTCTCCAACACCCAATATCTCATCAAGTTCGGTGTCATATGCCCCCGGGACAATTAGGGGTGGGGGAGGAGGAAGATTACCACTTTGATTGGCAGAAGTCAGAGAAGGGAGAACAAGAGAAAAAGACTGGTCAGAACCATCACTAAGTGTGATAGGTTCAATCTGTGCCCCGGCCCCCTCCGCCCCTCCAGCTGAACCATCTCAGCCGGCCTCGGGTGACGGCTATTCCTCGATAAGAATTCCTTCATCAGGCTCCCCGAGGACGCTGTGCATTTGAAACAACTGCAAGCTAGTTTTGACATGAGGGCATGGAAAGCAGCATCCCAGCCTTCTTTGAAAGCCTTCCTTTTGCCTTCTTCAAAGGCCAAAACAATTTGGTCATGGCAGTTGAGCCATACATTTTGGTACTCGTTTTGGACCCTCTCTAGTTCCCCAACCTTCTCGGCCTCCAGGATGTCAACTTTGGTTGTAAGCTAGTTCATGATGGACTCGGCTTCTGATAGCTTGACCTTACTGGCAAAAAATCAGAGTTCATACTTCTCCACTTTCTTGATAGCCGCGGCCTCGGCTGTTTTCAACTCTTGCAGCTCAGCGACATAGGTGTTAGCCTCGTGGATTAGGTCGGTTATGTGTTTTGCTTGATCAGCGACTGTCCTCTCCACACCCCGGATGTGTTCATCTTTTTGAACCAGGGCATTCTCAGCATTTTTTGCCACCTACCTGTGCTTCCAGAGGCTCTCAGTGATGACCCCCATCTGCTAGCAAGCTTGAAAGCGGAGCACCGAGAGTTAGAAATGATCAAATGAAGAAAAAATGAGAGTTAAAGCAACCACGCGTGCTTACCAACATATTATTTTGGATAGCAGCTTGAAAAAGCCTATTGTCCCCATAGCTTTTATAAACGGCCAGGTCGGCCTCAAATTAGAAACTCCCGGCGATGGCAAAAGCAACGTCGGGAGATTGCAGGAGAGAGTCAGATTCCAAGACTGGGCGCCCCTTCCTTGTTTGAACTCGGGGGGCCCATTCGACTGAAGAACCTTTTGGTACCGGGGAGTTATGGCGCTATTTAACCCGACGCTCGTCAGTAGCCTCAGGCCCTCGGTGTCGACGATCCCTTGTCTGGTCTGGTGGGTTCGCTTGGGGCCTTAGCGAGGGGTCCCTCGGTGGGATGATGGAATCCCGAGGCAGCTAAAGATGCAACGGCAGTGGAGGTGGTTGCCAGGGCGATGAGGTCGACGGAGGGACGATCAGGGCTATTCCCGAAGTCCCAGCAGCTCTAGACAACTGTGCTTTCCTAGCCACTGCGACAGCTTCCATCGAGGCGACGGTGATGGAGGTGGGATGAACAAGTCTTTGGGTGAAGGAGTATGTTTGGAGTCCTAATCGGGATCTGCTTTGTAGTCTTCTTCTTCTTCTTTCTCTTCCTCTGACAAAGAACGATCCTCCCAAAGAATAGGGTCGAACAGCGGAGGGATCTGTAAAAATCTAGTGTAACTCATATGGTAACCGAGTAGTGTGTGTGCTGCCTTGGCAACTGGGTCTGCGAGGTTGTGGGACTAGACTTTCACCAAGTCCTCAAAGCAGACCTGGGACTTCAACGGTTAGGCGGCGTCGGCTCTATGCCCGTCTACAAAAAGAGGCCAAAAGCAATGTCAAGTGTGTTGATAAGTGCTGAGCATTTTCAAAGAATGCATTACACACCTGGCTCCCTCGGCACCTTGGGGTAGTATAATCCGTCATACTTGGGCCCTTTTCCTTTCTCCCAACTGCTGTCGAGCATGATCAGATCGTCGACAGACCCCTTGTCCGAGTCTGGCATGTGGGTGACCAGGTACATGGAGGTGTCCCAAGCCTAAAGGTAGTACATGTCCCCGACGACTAACCTTAAGTCGTAACAGAATAGGATCTCATCTACCCCCAGGTCCACCCTGAGCCGAGCATTGAGGGCGACTACGCCCATAACTATCCTAAATAAGTTAGCCCCACATTGGAGGGAAAAAAGTATGAGGAACATTAACATCCTAAGAAGGAGAGGACGGAGGGGGAATGTGACTCCTCTTCCATAATGGCCTTAGTATAAAAAGGCATCATCTCTACGCTTCGTATGTATTTCCTATGGAACTTGGGATCGAAAGGGTAAGTGAAGACAGGCTTAGGGATTTGGTATTTGTCCGTAAAGGCCTGGATATTGTCATCATTCACTTCGGTACTTCTTAGCTTACGGTTCCTAGGCCTGACAGGTTCCCTCACCACTGTTCTGCGTATCCTATCCATGAATGAAGTCTAAGGGAAAGGAAGAAGGAGAGTATGAGAAAGGAAATCAAGAAAACAAAGTACTTACAGAGTGGTCTTCAAAGACGAGTGCTCAGGGAGCTAAAGAGGAATGCTCGGGGGGCAAACTGCTAGAAGAGAGTTCAGAGTTGAAAAGTTCTTGCAAGGCTAAAGAATCCTTTATTTATACCCTGCATAGAGAGCGAGAATTGAAAAGACACATCATCATTAGGGAATTTGAAAAGGGCAGCGCCAGACGTGCAAGTAACCATCCCTATTAATTAGACATGTTCGGTAAGCCTCCATTCTCCTAAAGCCACCTGTCCCACGTCACAAGAAGAATGGAGGCTGGAGGGCAGTTGGCGGGACTCTAGGCAGCCCCCCAATTCGACACGTGTAAGGACGTAACCGTTATAAGACCGAAGAGGTGCCAAGGACATAAGCGAAGGAATAATGGCTCAGAGAAGCCGAATACATATACTAACGTCTACATTTAATATGACTTGACCACACATTTATGGTAATATGAGTGACTAAGACAGGGTTATTAATGATCCTCTGCTCTCTCAGGACCTAAGTGTGCTAGTCATGATGACTAGGCATTAATGGCTATTATGCCAAGTATATCTCCTCGGTATACCCCGAGGTACTGTTCCCCCAAGCATTGAAAGCTCTGTAGCAGATGTCGGGCACCAACTAGAGGAACTTGAGTGCCCGGGGATAGCCATAATTGCTCGGCATGGACCCGAGCAATTGTCCTATCAACCTAGCATTAAAGATGCGAAGATCTGGGCAGGGATCGCTCATTACACGTGGGTAAGAGTGTCAAGCATTAAATGTTCATATGTGACTTAAATCATTTGCACTCGTTACCAATTTAAGTATAAATAGTACTCAGAAAAATGAACAGAGGTATGCAACACTAAATCAAGATACATAACACATTGTGCTAAAACCTCCTATCTTATACTAACTTAAGTTTCGGAGGGGATAAACCGGGTGTCGACCCGGCCCCTTTTCTGACCCTTTGATTGTTGCAGGTTCACCAGACATAAGATCGCTATCACAATTATTACAGGAAATCTCCCAGTGCAGTAGTTATTTGACGACTCTTTGAAAATAAACAGTTACTCTGGAATTAAAAAAAAAACAGCAGTTATCGAAATTAATTGGGCTCTCAAAATCATGTAGTTAGCAGCCAAAGCAATAGAAGAAGGCCGAAGAACACTGCCAGAAAGTTAACATATAAAAGAAGCATTAATCACATGAAAAAGAGAAATAATCAAAGACCCATTACTTGAGCGGAGTAGTAGTTAAACAATCGCATGAAATATTTCTATCGAAGGATTTATTTGTCGAGTAAGGCTCCAATATTTGTTAGAATCTGCAATTAATCTAATAATTTTGATGAATTAAATTAATAAATCATGTAAACAAATGAAGTATAAATAATATTATTCTTAGAGTAAAATCACTTCCTATTAACATGACAAAAATTTAACATGCCACAATACTATTTTTTAACGGATTCTGTCTTTTGAAGCTCCCCCACAAAAAAAAAAAAAAAAAGAGAAAACCCCACAGATTTAAACAAACATTCCACGAATAGGGACTATTGTAATTCATAAAGACGACAGGGACTACCTGCAACCTGACTCAATCTACAGCCTCTTTCTAGCTAGTTTCTAATCACATTCAAATAACCTCAAATGAAGTTGCAGCAGACACTGGTCCCCAAAATATTTTGTCAAATGTCCAAACCACAAACCCAGCAGGCATCAGCAGTGATAGAGACGGGGCCTCTTGTTCCCCGGCAAGCCCTGGTTCGACCCAGGCGACAAAGCGGCCTTTTCAACAACTACCTTCAACGCCCTTCGTAAGGCACCTAACCCTTCATCTCCGGCCAACGGAACTCGCACCCACAACACAATCCTCATCCTCCCTCCGACAGTCGCCATCTCCGCCCTCACCACCGTCGCTTGCACCGAACTTAGTGCCCTTGTTAACTCCGATATGAGCTCCGGCCGATCGTCGCAGCACAAGGACGCCTTTACAGTGCCTGTATCTCCATCGTAGTGAAATAATTTTAGTTCATCTGTTTCACTTGGGAACGCATTGTCTCTTGCTATGTTGGTACTAGGGTTGTGGGATTCGAGATCAGTGTCAAACAGTGAAAGTTCTGCTGTTGTTTTCTTCAGCTCTCTTACGCAACGGACCACCTCTGCTAACAATGAAGCCTTGTCCGACTGCATTAGTGGGATCAAATTATCATATCTTTAAAGGCATATGGAAATTTAGGAATAACGATTGGAATATTACATTTACACCTTTTTGTAGCTCTTAAATTTCCCTTATTACATTTACTTCAGTAACCATTTGATCACTTAATTACTTGGTTTGAGAGGCTTTTGTTAAGTATGAATAGTCACATTCCACGTTTTAAGCCAAAATGTCCTCGTTTGAAACTTATCCCGACCAAATAATAGAGTATTCCGGCGTATTTCTCCCAGAGGCAAGCTGCCACCTCTCAAGCTATACTCTTGCCAGGCCGAGATGCACATACTAAGTGACCTCCATACTACGAGTGATTTTTCGCATAACAAGGCTCAATGTCATAAGTATCATATAAAATCATCATTTATTTTGAAAACTGAAAAAATCATATACGACGATATAAGATATAGATATGTATGATATTTCTAAGATATGTATGATATTTCTAACAGTTTTAACAATGGTTGTCCTTACTTTGGTAGCTTTAGGAACGAGAGTGCGGAGGGTGGCGAGGTGACCATTGATTCTCCTTCTTCTTCGTTTTTCAGCTTCGCTGTGGCTCTTGTTTGCTGTAATTGCTTTCACGTGATCAGATGCTGAACTTGAGCTCAAGATTGAATTCCCGATATTCATCATTTCTGGTGAACTCAACACTCCACGAAGAAAGTTTGCAGAATTTGAACCACTCCCCAATTCGTACAAACTTGGAACAGAATGCATTGCTAATTCCTCCCACTTGGTCTAAAATCAACCAAAGTTCTACAACAAAGTAACACGAAACTTAACAGTCAAAAATACACACAAATACAAGTCCATCCATGGGCTGGGTACACACGTGAAACACACAAGCAGAGAGAGAGAGAGAGAAAGAAATCCTGCCTAATGCAAGAAAACCATGCATATGTTGACTAATACTGTAAAACTTAGAAAACAATTAGCCTGTCAAATGAATTAGTTTATACGAATCCCACTAGTATAAACTCAAAACGATACAAAACAGAGATATGAATTAATAAATTTTAATATGACATAATTTTATCACGATGCGACACAAACACCAACCATTTGCAGCCTCAACCATCATAACCAGCACACACGAGATGCAAAATATGTCGGGTTTTAAATGCAAAAGAATAATGAAAAGCGCAATATTTGCAGTTTCTACTCATATATATGCAATGAAGTGAGGACAACTGAGATATCAAACATATAAGTGAGGTGGAGCACTGAAGTCTGAAGACTGTAAATATTGATCGAACCAGGATTTGATTTACCTCTGAGCTTCTAAAGAACTTAGTAATCTGTACCTTCGAAATCACACAGGTCATAGACAAAGAATCCAACAGGCTGAGGTTGTTCCAATATGAGGGAGATGCTTTATGTTTCCCAGAATTTTATATGCTAAAGAAAGAGAAAGAACTCAAGCAGCATGCTTTTGGGTTTCTCTAACTTTTATACATGTGAACTAATGAGAACTCAACAGCATGTACTCTTGTAAAAGTAGCAGTTTAGAGCAAGCATTATAAGGTTTTTTTGTTGACAAGTCCCCTCCTCTAATGGGAACCTTGTGACTAGGGTTGGGAAAGAGCAAGTAAAGGATTAATTTTCGATACAATATCTAAAATTACTATAAACATGAATCTATAATATAATCTGGTGAGACTATCATAAAATAGCATTGTTTTTAATTGGTCTTAAAACATGTTAGGATCAATGTCAACTTTTAGCGACAACTTAATCACTTGACAGTGTAACGTAATTTAGATTGGGTTATACACTCTCACCAAATTAGTTTATAACATCAATTGTATTTTGAAGTATTTTTGATACGGTAAAAAACTTGGTACCCGAGGCATTTCTTTGTGCACACTGTAAAAGAGATGGCCTCTTTTTTCTTTTCTTTTTTTCCTCTTGTTTCGGGAATTTTCTGTGCTGTGTATAACCTTGTCGTGTATAACTTTGTCTTAGCACTCCCAAAAACTATGTTATGATCAATGTCAACTTTTTAGCAGTTACTTCATTTGTCAATGTTGAATTTTGACGTGACTTGTTCTAACTTATCGTAGATATTATAGAAAAGGATTTGAAAATAGATTTCTTTTAAAAGACATAGACTATACGATATTTATTTTCCTCTTTGTTTTGGAATTTTCTGACCATAACTTTGTCTTATGTTTTTCTTGTTAATTTTGACATGTCATATTTAATTTTAATATAAGAAATTTCTCATGTCCACAAGTCATAAGGTTTAAAAAGATTTCATTGCCTGGTGCAATGATTAAAAACAATCATGAAAGGTTCTAAGACATAATTTGAATGTAAATATGGTATCAATGAAAATAACATAGGAATAAAAGCATCATTATATCCACAATTTTGAATGAAAGCATCATTACATTCACATTTTTTTCATCATTACCTACTTGCGGCAACTAATCTGGTAGGGATGAGATTTTCTTAGTTTTTTTTTTTTAAATTGGACATTTTTTAATTACTTGTCCAATTAAAAAATTATTGACCAACATTTATTCCAATGGCGAAAACAAGAATCTAACGAGAGAACTGAAAAAAAATATAAGTTGAGAGATTAGTTATTCGGGATTCAAAATTACACTATATATAATTTTAAGGGGTAACTCAAATGATAGAATAAACTATAAACTTAGACGTCTTAACTTTGAATTTTGACAATTTCTTAAAACTAGAATATGAGGAATTTAAGACCATGGATGATTTGATTTTGATTGGGCAGAGGAGGAAATTATTTGAAGCGCACGTAAGCTAGCCTAGACACCCTCTGTATTCTCTCTCTCTCTCTCTCTCTCTATCTATATATATTGTATTCCCTTTAAATTATTAGAAGTTAGTAAAAGTTTGATGAATTAGTTAGTTAATATAAAAAGTTTGGTTGAAGTGAATTTATAAAAGTGATTAACTAAATAGAGAATATAATATTTAAATATATTTTAATTAATTATTTTGAAGAGTTGAGTTAGAGATGCTCTTAGAACCTAAAATGAAGAAACGCCTCATCTCACTGGTGGGAAGTAAGCCGCCAGAGGATCACACAGCCGTCCAGCGGCGGAGCCACAGTGGGGGCTATAGGGATAGTTGGTCCATCTGTGATTTTGAAAAAATTTCGGGTCAACTTCAAGTTTTGAATTTTTTAAATTTTTAAGAAAATTTGCCCTCACTGAAAAATTATAGAACCTTCAGGGGTATATTTTCATATTTTAGAAAATAAGTAGATATAAAATTAGACTTAAAATCCAATATTTATAATTTGTCAAGCATGAAATACATTTAGGATTAAATTATTTCAATTTAATTGGACTTGAACAATTTATCCATGTTGAATTAAATTTGATCTTAATAAACTTGTGATATATATTTTCTTTCAAGCCAAAGAATATATAAATTGCACTTTCAATTGACATTCTTTCAATGAAACTATACTTATAGAAAAATGTTGACCATTGATATTTTATAAAAGAAATAATAACATTAATAATTTAAATTATTAATGAATTTTAGATTATCGGACTGTGAAAAACTTTTTGGCTCCGCCCTTGGAGTAATAAAATGTTAGATAGTCACCAATTGCTACCCCCACCCCCCCTCCCCCCGCGCGTGCATGGGCGCGGAGTTTGTCGTTTATTGTGGTCTGGTGAAGATATTATAAATCGAGAGATATATATATATATATATCTCTGAGTTTTTTAACTCTAAAGTAATTTTAAATTTTGAATTGTAATATTTGATTTTTATAGCTACAAACGGACCCTATCTTTTATTGCAAATGCTCCAAAATAACAAAATAGCAACATTTAAATGACACATTTTCTCTGGTTTCTATGGGATACTCTTCTTTTTTAAAAAAAAAAATACTACATAACCCAAATAAAACCCAAAAATTAAAGTTTAAATGCATATCATTCATTAGATGAGTGTAACATGAGTGAGTTCCATTGAAAAAATTGATGGGACTCGCTCATTCAAAAAATAATAAGCATTGAAATTACAACTATTTGGATTTCATTTGAATTTTATAACATCACTCTTTTATTTTGGCATCGATACAAGAGGTTTATCAAATCACTAGCCTTGCATTATTAACCACCAAATAACACCAAACGAAAAACAAATAATTCTCTTTCTAAAGATCAACCTAAGCAACCATGGAAATGTAAACAAACTAGGATTACTCCAATTGATAAGAATATAAATTTTTCGGTTCATGCATGAGTTCGAGTTTTCTTTATTATGACACTTCAGTTAGATTTTAACTTTGATTTTAACGTAAGTGCGATGCAATTTTTCATATGTTGTTGTGTGGTGGTAAAAAATAATGTTCTGCAATAAAAATATACACTACTCTATCTTTATATATATATATATTAGTTATTGTCTGTGTCTGAAGGCACAGAGTAATAAAAATGGTAAACAATAAACATATTTGTATTTATTTCTAAAATCAAATCACAAACATAAAAAATAGATAAAAAAATTTAAGTATCGGTTTATAGTGGGGTGAGAAACGATGGGCGACAGTGATGGTTGTAATGGGTGACAAAGACTGTGGTGGTGGCGAGGGCGGCGACGATGGTGGTGACAGTGGTGGCAGTGGTGGTGTTGGCAATTGCAATAGCGGCGGTGGTGGTTGTGATGGTGGCGGCGGCGGTGGCGACGGTGACGACAAGAGCGGGGGCGGGGGCGACGACGGCGATGGTGGTGGGGGGTAGAAGTAGTGGTGGGCCGGTTTCAAACATTTATTTTTTTTAAAAGTATTTATGAGAAATAATTTCTATAATTATTTTTAAAAAATCACTCCAAACATACCCTTAAGGATATATTTTTAGCCTAATTTTAAAGTAAAATTTAAAACGATCTTAATCGCGAATAAAAAAAGTCATTTTGTTTATCTTTTGATATTTGAATTATAAGTTACTCTATTATATCTATATATCTATATAATAAAACATAAGTGTATTTGAATTTTATTCTAGTCATATTTCCTTCCTCAAAACTACCACCGATCACTTATCTCATTCATCATCCCTTTATCAGACTCAAACGTCAAATCACATTACTCATTTTTATCATATGTTTAATTATTTATATATTTTTTTCTTAAAAATATCATATCACTCATTTTTATTGTATATTTAATTATTTAATATTTAATTAATTTATAGTTAATATATTTTTAAAAAATTTAATATAATAAAATCAATTTTTTGAACGTTTAAATTTTATATTATGTTATGTCTTTAGGCAGACTTATATATATATATATATATATATATATATAACCGTTATATGTGACAAAAGAAATGTGAAGAGCGAAGCAAGAGAGAGGGCGACAAAAAAGTGAGAAAGTCTGAAAGAATATTTGTCACAAGACATGTCTTTTCGGCAGTGAATTTTGGTGGAGAAGTTCAAAAGCGCAATCATTTTCCGGCGCAGCTGATTACGGTCAGCAGAATATTTGTGGGGCTCTCCCAAGGAAAAAAAAGCACCCCTTCTTTGTCTACACTTCCAACGCTTCACTACTCACATCCCATGTCTGACCTCAAATAATTGAACACATGGGACCATTCTTGTTCTCTCAACCTCCTGGACTAAAGACTTCAAAGCATTGAAGCTGATGCAACATCGCTCTTCTAATTTTAAATATGATTCAAAACGAAACCGCAATATAATTTTGAATATGATTCAAA